TATCTATTAAGAGTCAATCTGTGCTGAATGCAGGCAGTCTCCTTGGATCTTAGTTTTACTCATTTGGGGCTTATTATAGAGATAGGTTAGTGAAGTAACAGCCTCTTATCAGACTCTGAATTACTTTCATGTCTTATTGGTAATTCTCAACAAGCACCCAGCAAGGTATTTCTTTTCAAGAAACTAAAATGAAGAGAAGTAACAGTCATATCTGCCCATGCCACACTGCCTGTCTTACGAGATTTGAATGGACTACATATGAAGAGTGGGCCAAACTCCAACTGTCTGACCTTTCCCCATCACAGTTTAGCTATATAGGACAAAGCAGTTGCATGCACTGGGACTGAGGAATGGAATCTTGAGAATGAAATAAAAACATCGACAGTAGTGTCAAATTTGTGTCTGACTTAAAAAAGAAAAGAAGCCTCCCCCCCTCTTTTATGTGTAATCCAGGCTTTACTGAAGAACAGGATGAAGGAGATTTTTGAGCATTTGAATTCTGGTTTATTTACAGTAAACTTCCCAGAGCTGATACCTGTTCAGTTAACTTCTGGGTGAAAGACCATGTCAGTTAATCCTTAGGGAGTGAATGAGTTGAGCAAAGTCTGCTTGGGCAAATAGGTGCCTTTGTTTAGTTAACTCACCATTCCACATTGTAGCCTAACTTCATTGATCTGGCAAATCTTCATGCATTTCTTCATTAAGGAAAATGCAGTACACAGTGTTGGATGCTGCAGTTAACTTCTGGATAGAATTTTCCTACTCAAAAGAGAATGCCTTTTAGAATTTTTTCACAGTTTAATAATTGGAATCAATGAACTTACTCCTTGTACCTGAGGTAATGTTTCTGTTTTCTTTCCTGGTGTTTTATTTTTGGCTTATGTAGATGAGGGGCCTTCAGGTTTTTCCACTTTTAATTTTGGATTTTTGGTCTTGACTTGGGCAAGCAGACTTGTAACTGCCCTCTAGTTCTGTGCTCTAATCATTGACAAAATCTTAAAAGATTTTGGGCTGCACTGGTAGGGTGCCAGCCACATACACCGAGGCTGGAGGGTACGAACCTGGCCCTGGCCAGCTGAAACAACAATGCAACTGCAACAACAACAACAAAAAAAAATAGCCAGGCATTGTGGTCGGAGCCTGTAGTTCCAGCTACTTGGGAAGCTGAGGCAAGAGAATTGCTTAAGCCCAAGAGTTGGAGGTTGCTGTCAACTGTGATGCCATGGCATTCTACCCAGGGTGACAGCCTGGCATTCTACCCAGGGTGACAGCCTAAGTGTTTTATTGTTGACTTTTTGTTCCTTCCAGTGGTCACCATGTCTTGTTTAAAGTGAATTGTTTAGTTTTTGTCATTCACATCAGGTATAAAATTAACATTGCTTTATTAGTCATAAAATGCTAACTTCCTAGAATTGTGGTTGTCAGGTTGGACTTTGAAATTAAATAAGGCTATAGAAATCTTTATACCCTCAATTGACCTTAATGGTTGCATTGTATAGTAATATAGTAAGAATTTGGCTTAACTCATGGGTTGAATGGGATGATAAAAGTTGAGTCAGAAACTGTCTTGATACCCACCTGCCGTGTTTCCCTGAAAATAAGACACTGTCGTAGATTTATTTTTTCTCAAGAAGACATACTAGGGCTTATTTTCAGGGGATGTCTTATTTTTATTAAGTATAATACAGCAATCTACATTTATTCAAATACAATTAAGTCATCTTCTTCTGGAACCTGATAGGGGGAGCCGACCCTGTTAGTGGGGTTGGTGCTAGTGATGTGTGAACTCCTTTCCCCTAGCCGTTTGCACATGTGCAGTAGGATGCCTGCGACCACGGTTACCACACACGCAAGTGCGATCGGCTCAGAGAAAGGAGCTGTGGCAGATAAAAGGTATTCCAGTCTTCCTTACTGCACCAAAATGCATGATGTGGCTGCATAGAGATGCTGCATAGCCACGCCCATCACTAGGTCTTATTATCAGGGTAGGGCTTATATTTAACAAATGTATAGAATTCCTGCTAGGGCTTATTTTTTGGGTAGGTCTTATTTTCGGGGAAACACGGTAGTTATCTTTCCACAGGTCGATCTTTATTCCATAGATCTACCCTAATCTTCTTCTCCATGTAATATGCCTTGTTGTCACGTGAGTTCTTAAACTTTTTTGGTTCGCTTAGGAAGGGGAACCTTCAGTCAGGAGAGGCTAAATTTTTACTATGGTAATAATGACACCAAATCCGAAAGCCTTATAAAAACAAAGTTTTATTTCTCACTGATGCAATATTATCTATCAAAAGTCAGTGGCAGCTCTGCTCCATAACATCTTCAGTCAGGGATCACAGTTGGTGAAACAGCCCCAATCTGGAATAGTGTAGATCTTGTAGCGGAGAAAAAAGAGGACATGGTACACAACAGTTTTTAACATTTCTGCTTGCCACTCATATTTTACTAAAGCAGGTCACATGGCCAGCCTATATTTAATAAGATGAGAATGTATAGTCCTTTTTCCAGAGAGAGGCACCAAACACAGGGAACAATAATAAATAATACAGTTTACCACTGTGAAGGCTTAAAGCGGTCATAAAATAAAACTGTACCCATGAATGAATGGGTGAGCTATAGGTGGGTTGCCCTCCTTGTAACCTAACTGCAACCATGGTAGACTTCCTCCAAGTTAAGGCTCCTACAAGTCTAATCATGGTCTGAGTATCTTCTTTCTGCATGCTCTAATTTTAAAAGCTCTGTCCTTCTGGGGGTAAACATTCCAGACTGTGATTGGGGAACTAGGAGTAATTCCCATAACAGGAAGTGGTTTCTCCATTAAAGAAGGAATTAAATTATCCCTAGGGTCAATTTCCAGTTCTAAACATTTCTAACTCAGATTTTAGCCTGATTATTGGGTTCATTAGTTGTCCACTGCTAGAGAAGGAAGAAGCAAATTCAAAATTTACTCACTGCATCATTTACTGCGTCAGGCAGATGAACATTTTACTTTGACAGGATTAAGCAAGGGAACTTCTGTGGAACTTCTTCCCATCCCTCAGTCACCAGGCATTTATTTACCATAATCCAGGGAGTATTCTGATGAATTGAGGAGTCAAAATAAGAAGGAACCAGGGAATCCTTCAAATCAATGTAGCATCCCAGAGGCTTATGTCTGCTTGGGTAAATCTGGGAAGAAGAGACACAGAATAACTCACGAGAGAAGAAATCTAAAGTTTTCCTTATTGGTAATAGTTTAGAGACCCAAAATTATTCATGTCACTACTGGATGTTAATGGTTTTTCTTTAAGTTTAAATGGAAAAGTCTGCTTCAGTGCTCTCCCTTCAGTTTAACTTTTTTTAGTAGAGACAGAATCTCACTTTATTGCCCTGGGTAGAGTGCCGTGGTGTCACACAGTTCACAGCAACCTCCAACTCCT